ATCATCAGAGGTTATTTCTTTACTATCTTCTTTAATATGATGTTCGGTTAATTCTGTCGTTGATTTTGCAGCAGTAGATACTTTTTCCTGTGCTTTTTGACTAGTTTTACTAACAGCTTCACCGATCCCTTTCTCTTTATTCTCTTTATCCTTTTTAGTTTCAGCAACTATTCCTTTTTTATCCTCCGGTCCTTTCTCTTTATCCTTTTCACCATCTTTAATTTCAGCAACTATTTCTTTTTTATCTTTTGTTTCTGGCGTAGGTATTTCTGATGATGATGGTTCATGTTTTGCGATTATATCTTGAGCAATTGTACCAATATCGTTAATCAATTTACGAAATTCAGAATTTGTAACTATTAACTGTGAGATATTCAATATGTTTTTTATTCCTTCCTCAACTAATGATCTGTTGGTGATTTCAGTCACGATTATTTCCTGATCAATTCCTTCACGAGATGATGGTAATTTAGTAGCTATTTTTTAATTAATGATTAGAAGGGAAAAAAAAGACGTGTTATATTTAATTGACGTGTAAAGAAATAATTTTTGAACATATATAAATATATATTATTAATATTCGATATCTTTAACGATCCGAGTACCATAATAAACAACAACATTTTGTAATTCATTTTTTTCCTCAAAGAATCTTTTCAAAGAATCTAACAAATTTTCCAAATCTGCTAAAACTTTTTTACCCAACACAGAGATACCATGAGTTGCATCGTATAATAATTCTGATTGATGAATTTCATCAATCTCTTCGGATATTTGTGAAGTAGTTGGTAATTTTCCTTTACTATTAATTATTACATGTAAAATAAAATAATTAATCGCAAGTTTCACAAAGTTTATAAAGTAGTTTATTGAATGTTTATATATATATATATATCTAATGTATCTCTTTGTACCCAAGTGCTTCGGTAACTTCTACAATCTTATTTTTGTATTGTAAAACCTCACGTTCTCGTATTGCACGTTCTGAATCATGTTTGGGTGGTAATTTACTGTTACTCTTTGAAGTAAACATTTATAGTAATTAATCGAAGATATAAAAAAAAAGGTTGGGAATTTAGAAAATTTTTTATAAATGTCTACGTTTTACATATATTATTAATGAGATTACATAATATAAATTACAAATTTTTCTTAAAAACTAATCCTCATTTGAAATTTTTTTCACCCTGCTATATCTTCCAAACTTAAACCTTTAGTTTCAGGTATTAAGAATGTAGCTGATAATCCAATAAACATCAATAATTAAAATAATTTAATAAATGCGGAACAAATGCGTTCTTATGACCACCAACATCTTTCAATCGTAAGAATCCAACTCGCCAAGTTTTTCTGATGCTGCTGAAATCCCAAAAGCTGTCGATCTAATGTATTTGATCCAAAATTTTTGGAAGAACTATTTGAGAGAAAAAATTAATTGTTTGAAAAAAAAAAAATTATAAAGTAATAACATACTATAACATGCACGTGCCTACCTTAAATAATATAATGTATAAACTAGAGATTTATCAAGTATTAATAACCGAATCCAAGTGTGACAAAAGGTACGGTTAACATAGTGAAACCCATCACTGTGAAAACGGTAAACAATAACCAGGTACAGTACCCAATAAAGCTATCGTAATGTTTCCAATAGCAATATTATTGGTGGATATCCTATAGCATCCAATATGATTGCATTATTCAAACCAGTACCACAAAATGCCACGTCCAATGCAAACAAAGACAATGACGTTCCAATAAAACTTTACATTTTTCCATTTACCAAAATGTTCTATAAATTCATTCCAAGTGAAAGATTTTGATTTGTGTTTGTCAAGTTCGGTTTAAATTAAGTTTATTATCTTTTGATCCAACTACAGTTGTTGTCATATCAGATGGTGGCAATAATTATCGATTTCATACATCTGATTGATTAACAATTTATTTAACGATCACCAATAAATGTACATGAATAGAATTTTATATAATAGTAATTCGCGTTTTTACGACCAACAAACCAAATAACAATTGACCAGCCAAAGTACCAATTGCAGTACTAACTTTTAACACGTATCAACAGAGACAAGAAAAGTGTTGATCCATAATAAACATATGCCAACATCACGGCGATTATGTTTATTGCAAATAAAATCATAAGCATCAGGGAAAAATCCGACACCTGAAACTACACAGACTCTAACATGAAACCATCCGAATTTGGAATGGAGGACATATTTTGTTGTTATTTGATCGGTTGGGATTTTGTTTGATTTAAATTTTATTCATTATAAGGTCGTCTATCTGGTTTATTTATACTTTTAAAAAAAATGCCAAGAAAACATTCGCACGTCAAATTTGATATCGAACGGAAAATTATATGGATTTAGATGTTTGATTTTGATCGTAGAAATGATTTGGAAAATCAGTGCGGTGGTGCAATACATACAAGCATTGTAAAGGTAATTTATAGTTGTACAAAACTCGAATAATCTGACCAATCAATGAATAAAACAAATTTTAACCAACGTTTTGTCTACTGGTTTTAAGAATATGCATCAGCGAATCAAGAATTATGTAAATAGTAACACTGTTATAAAAAATCAAGTATATGTTGGTTTGGAAAATCTGTACTAGTTACACACCGACTGGCTAGGGCCGCTTTAAAATACTTGATAATAATAGTAAATAAATGATCGACATGCCAATTTTACCTGTTTCCTGTGTAACAAATATTTGAATTTGAAATTTGAAAAATCTTATTCCTTACTAGGCAATGTCGAATATTCCAAACATAAAATTCAGTACGGGAATATGGGAACGTAACGTCATACATTATAATTTTATGCAGATAGTTTCTAAATTTATAGAAATCTGCATTCGTCACACACCGAAATTTGTACACTAGAGGTTTTTTTTCTACCAATCAAAATAAATAAATTGACCATGAGACTTGCGTGTTTTCTGTTATCAATCTTTGGGAATGCAATATATGATGCCATCTAAAAATTTTAATGAACAAATTAAAAAAATTTTGTTTATGTAGAAAGTAAAGAGGATCCCCATTTATTTTATTGATGTTGATTTCTATTTCCATGTATTTATTAACTCTGCTAGGAATACCAGCTTGGGGAAAAGTGTATAAATACGATTGAATTTTCGCCTGTGGAAAATTCAGGGTAGGCTATTAATAACTCATACTAAGAGTTATTTTGAGAGTAAAAGGGATTTCCGGATTATACACATCTCTCTATATATAATCCGGGGTTCTTGGTAGATTGCATGATTTAATATCGGATATATACGGAAACACATTATAAATTATTTTAAATTATTAATTATTATGCATGAAACACTCGTAAAATTAATCTAACCTTATGCCGTTGTATTATTATCAATTGCATAATCAGTATTGTTCTGATCAAATTCTTTTATCCATCGTGTGAATTTAAAATTGGCCAATTGAAAGGAATTTTCCACACATATTTGATTGGTCAAGTCAAAAAATTATGATAGAATGGAACATTTAACCATTGTTAAAAAAATTTTTTTTTTCGCAAATGTATACTGGATCGTTTCCTTGATTTTTTTAAGGTTCTTTTTATTTATGTATACAGAAAGAGCTATGGGCCTTTTTTAATCGTAAAATTATTATTATTTGTTATAGCTTAAAAAACACTAAAGCCAAATTGAAAAGGTATATATATTCATTTAATTTATTTATAAATGTTTCGATTTCGATTTTAATTACTAGTGTATGAAAACTACCCAACAAAAAATCACTGAAATGTGATATTTATCCAATAAAAACTGCAAGATCACGTGTAACCAAGAAAAAAAACCGAAAAAAAAAGGTTTAACTATGACAAACTACTGATTAAAATGCCCAACGTGAAATTTAGGTATAGGGTGTCATTTTTTGAGTTGACAGGTATCCCAATGCAAAAAAAACACGTGTTCGCGCTTTTTTTCTGGTGAAGAATGAAAAAATACGTTTACCAAAATGGGATTGTCTTTTTAAGGACATAAATAAATAAACAAATGCAAAAAATTCCTGTTATTAAATAATAATAAATACATTGTTGAGTCAAAGGATCGGTGCAAATTTTATTAATAATAGGTAATTAGGAAAAAAAAAATTAAAATTGATTAACCAATCAATATTTATATCTTAATCTAATATTTATTTTATTATTAAGGTTTTATCAAAGAATGTAATACTACTATTTTAATAATTAATCTCCCTTAACTAAATTACTATGTAATTATGGACAGCTGAAAAGGTAGTATATACAAAATGTTTTTTTTTAAGCAATAAAATTATACTGTCACTTTCCTTTTTAGTATTACAATTTAAAAATTGTAGGAAGCTTCGACATTTTTAGTTATCAGACCAATGGTTGATCGATCATCCATATGTAAAATAGAAATCCGATCCATGTAGCCAGTCTTTTTTTAAAACATCTTTTCTAATGAATCCTCTCCTATATTGAATAGAGACTCTCTATGTAAAGCTATAGTTATTCAAAATCTTATCAATCAATACACAAATGAGAAAAAATCTGGGCAGGACTAATTTCCAAATGTAGTAATTTGGTTGATAAACTTTGACACCAAGATTTTCTTACTTGAAAACAAAGGATTTGTGACTAATTTTTTACAAAATTTCGACGTCCCAAGAAAATGAAATGGTTTACATTGTGTAGATCAAGATTTCATAAGCCCGCCCACACCATCTTTAACAAAAAAGGATTTTTGAATTTGAGACATATTAGTATAAAAAAAGAAATGAAATTAATTTACTAATACTTGTAAAAAAACGGGGTATTGAAATTTATTTGTATTGCAATAGAAATTACTTAAAGAATATTTATTCGTTAAATTGTATGAATTATCTAAAATAAGAATTCTAAATTTTTTCCGAAAAAACGTTACTACTATTATTATTATTAATGAACACATATTGTGGAAATAATATAAAATTTATAAAATGTGTGCATCCAAATATTTTTAAACCGTCGATAGAACCGGTGTATGTTTACTTTTAATTTTTAATTCAAAGATTTAGAATTTGAAATTGGTTCGATTTAGGTTTTTTATTTGTCGCACAAACTAACTTGAATCATGATAATATTAATAATATTTCATATAAAAGTGCCATGAATTTTCTCGTTTTTCTATTACCGATAAAAAAATAAAAATAAAAATAAAAAAAAAACCTTTGGTTTTTAGCAATTAAATTTTTCCTACGAACACCTTTCACAATCTTCTTTTTTTTAACGAGTCAAAAACTTCTTTAATAAAAAAAAAAAAACTCTCCGAAATGGAACCAGGATCTTACGTGTATTTATTAGTCGTAGGCTCCATAATTGCTTTTGCCGATGGTTATGGTATAGGAGCCAACGATGTAGCAAATTCATTTTCCACATCCGTCGGTTCTAGATCTTTAACGTTAAAGCAAGCATGTGGTATTGCAGTTTTCACTGAATTTTTAGGAGCATTTCTTCTTGGTATGTTGAGAACTTTTGCTCGTCACAAATTATTCGTTTAAACGTATTGATATGGAATTCGAAATTTACATTAAAAATCATTTTTTATATAGGTGCAAACACAGCCGAAACTATTCGTGGCAAAATTATAAATGTAAACTTATTTGTTGATAAACCTGAAGTTCTTATGGTAAAAATCAAAAACAAAAATATACAAATCGTTTTATCATTTTAAAATTACGTTTTTATATTTATTTTATATATTTATATATTTTCATAATAGCTTGCAATGGTATGCGCTTTAATAGGATCATCCAGTTGGATTATTTTTGCTTCAAGTAAAGGTTGGCCAGTTTCAACCACTCATTCAATTGGTTAGTATTAATCATAATCATAATCATCATTGTTGTTATTTATTATTTAATTATATCAAATGTTAATCACGTAACATTTAAATATTATATATTAATAGTTGGTGCTATTATTGGTGTTGGTGTTAGCGCTTTTGGTACTCAAGCAATAGATTGGGGTTATAATGGTGTTGGAAAGATCGTTGCCTCATGGTTTATATCACCTGTTGTGGCTGGTGTCGTAGCCAGTTTGATTTTCATTTCTACAAAATATGCCGTACTTAGGAGCACGAATTCATTCAATCGTGGTATCATTGCTGTACCAATCTATTTTGGAATAACTATTGCCGTAAATGTATCATTCTTTATCTATAAGGGTGCTCCTGCTTTTAAACTTGACAAAACTCCACCAGGTAAATATTAATATTACAATATAATTATTAAATATATATATACACATTTTAGATTTTTAATTAATTATTAATAATATGTATCATCATTATATATATATAGTTATTATTGCACCTGTAACAATTGGTGTCACATTAATCGTTTCAGCATTTTCATACTTTTTCTATGCCGAATGGCTCAGACGTAAGATTATTGGTAAAGAGACCGGACTTCGTTGGTATCATATTCCAATAGTACCATGCATTAAAAAAGGTGGATATATTGATCAAACTTCCACTGAAAGTGGAGCCACATCAGCCGAAAAAACTAATAATGAAGAAATCTCAGAAAATCCTGATGGCAAAGATGGTGGAGATAAAATAGAAGAAGATAAGGAGGTTAACTGGGTACAAAAATCATGGGTAAAAATATTGGCAGTAGCTGGCCATGGTCTCAACAAAGAAATTGCAGATTATAATCATGATAAAAATGAAGCTATGCACGCTGTTGCCGTCAAATATGATGATGACACTGAAACTTTATATTCATTTTTACAAATCTTAACTGCGTCATTTGCCTCATTTTCTCATGGTTCAAATGACGTAGCAAACGCAGTTGGTCCATTAGCCACAATCTATCTCATCTACACCTCAGGAGCAGTCGATCCAACTGGAGTAACTCCAGTGCCAATTTGGATTTTAGCATTAGGTGGTATAGCTATAGACATTGGTCTCATTACTTATGGTTATCATGTGATGAGGTCACTTGGTAACGAAATTACATATCATTCCCCGTCTCGTGGTTTCTCCATGGAATTGGGTACCTCTCTCACCGTATTAACAGCATCGAAACTTGGTTTACCGGTTTCAACAACGCATTGTATTACTGGTGCAACAGCAGGTGTCGGTCTTTGTAATGGTAATGTCAAAGCTTTGAACTGGAAATTATTAGCTTGGTGCTTTTTTTCATGGGTACTCACTCTTCCAATAGCAGGATGTACCGCAGGACTTATTTTTGCTTTTGTAGCAAACGCACCAAAAATAGGTTTAGCTGCTACAACTTAAATTATATAATTATTTTTATTTAACTATTTAATTTTAAAAAAAATTTATACATGCATAATTTAATCATTTTTTATAAATTCATTCACACTTTTTTATAATAAAATATAACAACATTAGCAATAATGATGATATAAAACAATGATGTAAAAAAACATTTGAACAAGTAATTTATTTAATAGTGACTTCTTGATAAGATAAGTTTGTAATTATAAATAAAATAAAACTTTTATGAAAAATTACTTTTTAATTATTTAAATCTCGCTTTTTTAATGTTTACAAATATATAAACTTGCACTGTTCTGTTGAATCTAAATGTTACAATCTCATCATCAATATTATCCCGATCATTATTTTCTTTTACCTTGTCATTGGAATTATGGTGATGTTTTACCATGCTATGCATTTGATTTTAAATTTATGTATGAATTTTTCTACCAAAGAAGACCAAATATTCTTTCTAAAGTAAAATAGATTAAAGTTAGGCCAAGTTGAGTTGCCAAGGTTGGTTGAATCCTGCTTTAAACTAGCAGGTCTAACCGGGTTATTTTGTTAAAGATAGTTCATAATGATTGAGAATTGCAATAATAATTAATAATAATAATAATAATAATAATAATAATAATAAATAATTTGCGCGAATTATTCCAACTAAAAAAAATCAAATTAGTCTTATTCTTCTGTTCGGTAACTACAAAACAATCCAAACCATATCATTGAATTACGGTTGGTACATCAAAAGGAAAAGATTCCTGCCTTTAACCAAACATAATCACTTGGAAGTTGAATTACCCTCATTGTAGAGAGCCCGATCACAATGATATATTAACACTTGATTGAAAATAAAAATAATAAAGTAGCATTTAGTTAGTTTACTTATTTTAAAGACTGGGTGCATTTTTCACGTCATTTACTGTTTTAAGTAATATGTCATATCAAGGCAATAATAATTGTTAAAATTTTTAAGTTTCAATTTTAACAATACGTATTTGATACACACATTTCATAAACATACATAATTGATGGATTTTAATTCTTTGTTAGAATCATTTGGTTTTCCCGTTAAGAAAGAAAAAAAAGGAGGTGGAAGAGAGAAAGAGGAAGAAGAGGAGGAAGAAGAGGAAAAATTTTATGAAGATTTATATAAAGTATTGGGATGTTTTGAATCAAGTACTGTAAGTATTATTCGATTATTATTCTTTACTATTATTATTTGTTAAAAAAGATTTTTTTTTTTAAACAAAGTCAGAACAAATTTCGGCAGAATATAAAGTACGTGTATTACAATGCCATCCTGATAAAATAAAGAATGAAGAAGATAAAAAAATTGGTGATTTTAAGAAGAGTTTATATTTAACCGATCAATCAAAAAAAATTTTAAAATTATTTTTTAATTAAATTTCTTTTTGTAGCTGAAAATCAATTCAATAGATTAACAACAGCTTACAAAATATTAATTGATAAAGACGAAAGATTGAATTATGATAAATGGAAAAGAGGATCACTAAAAATTTCATACAAGCTATGGAAAGAATTAATCGTCGAGAAAGGACATGTATACACACACATACATATGTTGATTGATTTGATGTATTATATTCTATTTTATATTATTAATATAATCATTATGTTTTTAGGCAGTTCACTGGAGACCTTCACCAAATCCACAACTTACCATCAAGAATCATTCAAATGATAATGACAACAATAATAAAGATGGTAATAACATTGTTAGCGAAAGAAGTTATCAATGTAATAATAAAAAAAGTAAACAAGACGAATTATACGAAAAATTTAGAAATTATGAAATTTAAAATGATTTTTTTTTTTAATGTTACTAAACGAATGGTTTTTTTTTTAAATAAATATAAACATGAAAATAAATCCACAAGGAAAATCCAATCCACCCAGTCTAATAAGTAATATATTGCGAGTCTAATAAATAAGCAATAAATAAATATGTAATGAATGATATGTGTGTGTGTGTGAGTGTATAACATGAATGAAAAGCGATGATAAATAATAAACAACAAATAATAATTAATAATTGATAAATAACAAATAACAAATAACAAATAACAAATAATAAATAACAAATAATAAATAACAAATGATAATATTTTTTAATAAAAACCATCAAATAGAAAGATTCCAAAGTAATAAAGCATCATCTCCTTCATCTTTGCAGTAATTTAAAATATTTTTTGTGTCAATTTCTTCATTTGAATTTTTGTTACAATTATGATTATGATTATGATTATGATTATGATTATGATTATGATGGTGGTGGTGATGATGGTGGTGGTGATGGCGGTGATGATGGTGGTGGTGGTGTTTTCTTCTGTGATGATTTTTCTTGTGGTAATGTTGATATAAATAGTCAGGGTTATGATGATTATTTGGTATTGGAATTACTTTTATGGCTGTGTGACGATGAATATTGTTTATGGGATTTGGTAAAGGAACAATATTCGATGTATTATTATTATTGTTGTTGTTGTTGTTGTTAATAGTATTGTTGTTATCATTATTGGTAGTATTATCATCATTATTATTGTTACTACTATAATTGTTAATATTACTGTTATCCCATATAATTAGACGTCTTGAGTAAGGTAATGATTTGGTTTTTCTTATCATAGATGGTAAATATTTTGAATTTGGATTATTTGTAGGCGTTAATATTGAGACAGCTGTTGAATAATGTGATGAAGTGGAACGATATGATGTCGGTGATGTAGATGTAGATGTGGCAGACGTGGTGGTGTTATTATTATTAGGAAAAATTGAATTAGCTGGATTAGTTGAATTGAATTTGTTGATTGTAGATTTAATTAATATAGAAGTAAACTCGTTGGTATGTTTTGCATTTTCACGTTTAGTTATTATTGGTAAGATTTCCTCCTCCTCTGAATCTGTTGAGTCTATTCTTCTTGATTGATCTATAAAAGTATCATATTCATCTTCATCCTCTTCATCATCATCATTTTCATCCTCTTCATCATCCTCTTCATCATCATCCTCTTCATCGTCATCATCCTCTTCTTCATCGTCATCCTCGACATCTTCTATATATCCATCTTCATCTACAAAATTATCATCATCGTCACAACCATCTTCAGTAGAACTATAGCTATAATTGGAACAACTATTATTAGCAATGATGTCATCGTCGTTATTGTTGTAGCTTTTGTCTGCATTATCTTTTCCTATTTCTTTTTCTTCAGAACAGCTGCATGTTCCTTTATTACAAGTTTCATCATCATCAAAAGTTCTTTTTGCACATTTTTTTGTCAATAACAATTTTGATGGTGGAGGTGAAAAAAGATTTGTTGGTTTTATAATGCTATTTTTATTTTTGCTATCTATACCATTTTTGGTTGAAGTTGATAATGTTGCTTTTTTTTGTTCATTATTATAATAAACATTATCGTCATTAGTAGTATTATTATCGTCATCGTCATTATTATCATCATCATGTTGAATTGGTTTCTCTCTAAGAACCAAAGGACAATCAACAAATTTCAAACGTTGTTTATTGTTATTATTATCGTTATCTTTTTCTTCTTTATGTTTATTAATGTTACTTACAAGTAATGGTTTTGAATCCAATTGCTTGGTAATGTCGGTTGTTGTAACGTCTTTAGGATTTTTACATTTGTTGTTGTTATTGTTTATCGTCATCATCGATTTGTTATTCCTACTATTACTATTGTAATAATTATGATATTGTTGTCGTTCCGATCGTTTCTTTAACATTTCTGATAATAATGAAACTTGCTGGTTATTATTTTCATCTTGTAATAAATTATTTGTAACATTTATTTTCTTAAATTCTTTTTCTTCTACTACTATTTTTTCGTCATTATCATCATTGGCGATAGTGATGTGTGTTGTTGTGTTTGTGGGTGTTGTTGAGGTTGATGTTAATTGTAAAACTTGTGAAAACAAATTTTTAACCATATTTGTTGGTGTTTTTGATCTAGAAATTAGAAAATTCATAAAAAAAAAATTATTTTTTATATTTATAATAATTTTTCCTTTCATTCCTTTTTTATTCTCCTACCTTCTTATACTCAAAGTTGAAAGAGGGGGATATTTATTGCATTCACTAAATTTTAATGATGCAGTAACAGGGAAATGTTGCATTATTTATGTTGTTTATGTTATTGTTATTATTGACTTGAGTTGGATATTGATATGGTTTTATAATAATTTATTTAATCAATTAATTAATCAATCAAAAAATTTTTTTAATTTTTTTGAATTGCTGTTATTGTTAGTATATATATACTACAAGGAAAATATTACAGGGGTCCAGAATATAGAAATTGTCAACCGCCCTAGCCGCCGCCATAATTTTACTAAATTTGTCATATGAGTCAATAAAAAAAAATCCATGGAGTTTAATATGAAAAAAATAACCAGGTAACACTTGAAATCTGATACCATCACTCTTGATGATGGGATAGATAACTCTTTTTGAGTGCGTGTGCAAACGAAACTTTTGCTCGAAGACCAAACCATCAACATTGAAAGAAGAGGAAATTATTTGTTAAAACTCTGTATCTCAACATCTTTAACAGAGACTATGATGGAAAGAGTAATTCACAAATTCTACCTTTCAATAATATTTGGAATGGTGAGGACGTTACATCTGAACCAAACCTTTGCCATAAATAAGTCCTTAGGTATCGAAGCCCAACTTCCAACCTCGTTGGACTGAATTCGACAAATAATACACAATTGCTTGAGTAAAATTCAATTTCAATATGTCTAACAAATCAATTAATTTCCAATTATTTTACTTCAACTAATATGATTTATCCTGCATGCATATAAAACTATTCAGATAACAATTGATCAATTTGATCAGTGATCCACACGAATGGGTCATATCCTCGTGTAAAGTTAACAATGACGACAATACGATGACTATGGTTTGAGAATATTCTAGCCTTTCCCGTGTTTGCACGGTCCAGATAATTATGATTGATTAGATAAAAATGAGCATGCTGGGAAGATTTCATTATTTATATCAAGTTACACAGAAAAAGTTTAATATAAGAAAAAGTAATTGACCGTTATCTTCAACCCATCAAAATTTTTTTTAGTAAACAGAATATAATACCAGTATGGATTTTGTTGATATAAATTGGGTTTGGCTATTTTCAAGGTCGTCATTATTACATAAGACAAAAAAAAAATTTTTTTTAACTTTTACAGAAGTGTTTAAACACACACCAATTAGATTTCAAAACAATCCATTATGTTTTTCAATCTTTTTTGTGACATAATAACAATGAAGGACCAATTTCATCATAATAATCAGTCTTATGCATCTTTAAATTGTTGCTCTTTAACATTTAAATATAAAAATGATTATCAAATCCTCCTGATTTGGAATTATATCGGCTAAATGTTTTTTTTTTTGGATAAAATTAAATAGCCAAACTGGTTTCTCGTGATTTTTGCATGATTATAAATTCTAAATATGTCTAACTATAGTAATGGAAAAAACATCAGCAATTTCATTTTGAACAATGCTAGTCGATAGTAATAGTGACTAGTATTATTTATATATGATGATTAATAGTAATATTTCGTTCATTTAAAGATAGTGGTTGATTCTTCCAGCACTCAACACAAAAACATCCATCTTTGTGTAACTCAAACAATAATGATAATAATTACAAGAGTTTGTGAGTCTTGAATTTCCCAACACTCACCCATTTAATATTAATTTATCTTGTAATACTTTTTAACAAATTTCCTGTTTATTAATTCATCCATTTATGGTTTTTGCCATGAAAAAGCACACCATTTTTTGTAATTGCTCACCAATGGTTTTAAAGGATGAATTTTCAGAATTACGTTGGGACAAGATATTTTCTTAATGGCCCAGCTTATTGCAATTGACGGTGGATCAATAATCACTACAGAAAAGAAACGAGAGCTCGGATCATAATGTCAAAGAAACATACCTTAATATGTTGTGCTTATTTTGAGAATGCCAGAAATCATTTAATGAATAAGAGAGTCTTCTTGTATCAAGAATTCATGTAATGCTAAAAATGCTGCTACTACTGCAAATAACTTCCTTGGAAATTATGCTGAAGTTCATGGATTACCAAAGCAGTAACCCAATCATTTATATTCCTACCAGCAAGAATTAGAGACTTCTTGCTAGTCATGAAAAAGACAGCATGTTGAAGTTGTTAAAACATGACGCATTTTGCAAATTATGACATCAGCTAGCACCCGAGATTCAAATTATGAGACTGGCTTATGCGATATCCGTTAACATTTTCGAAATGGCTTACAATATAATGTTCATAAAGAAGGAGAGGCTAAAGACTTATTAAAGAAATACAAAGAACATTTATCAAAAGCAAAAATTAGAAGGAAGTTATTTTAACAAAATACCAAATTAGCAGAACAGCAAAGAAGAGTTGTCAATCAAAATTAACACTACAAGAATTCAAACTACTCGATCAATGTAAATAGATTATTTCATTGTCTTTATCTCATTGTAACTTTATATTCATAACATAATAATAAACATATCTTTAACAATAAACATAATATTGAAGTAAAAAAGAAACTCCTTCGTCAGCAAAGAATTAAGGGCTAGTCTTCATAATAATCCTATTTTTTTTTAACGAGGTACTGTTATTAGGGAATAGCACTACAGATCAGAGTGAATCTAACGAGAGAATTTAGCAAGGTATTAGTAGCTAGGGAGTGGCTATACGGATTATAGTAAAAGATAATTTAGAACAAATATATCTTTTATCCTTAATTATTATTTTTGACTTGGGCACAACATATTATAAAAAAAATTTATATTAATATTAATGTATTGTTTGTTAAAAAAAATTTAGACATTCTGTTGATATGGATAAAAGAAAAAAAGATTTTTACCAAAATTGTATTGAGAGGCTACAAATAGTTAATTATCAATGTAAATTAATTGTTAACATCTATTAACCTTTATTATGTATTAAAAAATTTTCATCCAAAAATACTATTTAAAATAATCGTCAAGTTACAAGTATGATATTGATATTCAAGCACCATCTTTCATCTCATAATCGTATCTTTTGTGCGTGATTTACTTGGTGTTGTAAATGTGTTCGTTACGGTATTAGTGGTAGGTATGTGATATCCATCATCATCATCATCATCAAGAAAAGTTTCGACGTTTAAATCATCTTTTTTATCAAATATATTCATTGTTGCGATGATAATAGACCGTACATATAAAACCTCTTTTAGTACAAAAGCAAGTGGTTTGGCGTTGCTCAATCTGCCAGCGACTTCTTGAACATTATTACGGTTAATTCGAGTAATGTATCCTTTAGGATGATCTACAGTTAAAACTTGTAACCTGTTTGCACCGTGGAGTATTCCGATTACTTTTAGTTTTTTATTAGAGATTCTTTTATCTTACATTCTCTAATTAATTTATCTAGCATATCCTTTAACATCTTAGATATTTAAGTGAATCGGACATATATTTTGTACCATTCGTTTCTTCCCATTTCCTGCCGGCTTCAATTGCACCGAATTCTAAACGGTCTTTATATAACCTTATCACACCATCCCTTTTTTGCCAAATTTTTTATGATCATTAATTTTTCTTTGGATGTTCTTTCTTTCGCTAGAAGCGAAACTCATTCCCTCCCCACGAATTAAATCAATATTTAAATCATCGAACGCGGGATTCATAATTCGGCTCCAGACCAGGGCTATGAAAAAAAACGGAAATTCCTCCTGAATGCTAAGAATTTTCCGGAAGAAAAATTTTAAAAAAGGAAAATTTTTTAGGTGCTAAAATTTTTTTCAAATTTAAGAATTTTCTTTATTTTATACTTCTGTTTTTACTTTGAAGAAGATTACTAAGAGCATCACTAAAATCATAACAAAATAAATCAGTACTTTCTAAACCAACCATCATTAATAAGTGCAATATGTCATTTTCCATTGCATTACATAAATCTGTTTTGTTTTCTAAAGCCTCTTTCACAATCTACACTAGAAAATGGAATTGAGTGCACTATTTCTATAAGTTTTAAAATATAAATAAGACTTGGAAGTTTGGAAATTGGAATATTTTCTTTTGCCATCCAGTAAATCATTTTCATTATATTAATTATACGTTTGTTACCATTATTAGTGGTTTTTTTTTGGAAGAATCTTGCATGATTATTCTCTTTTCTAGAAAAAAAGAGCCATTATGTTGGTTTGAAAGTGCATGAGTTGCTAGAGCAGTAGATTTTGAAATACTCTTTGATCCCAAATAATAACATTATAATATTAGTAATTTAAGAATTGCAAAATACAAAATTAATTATATTTATTTGTCACCTTTTCCTGTAAATAGATTTTTTTCCCGTGTGCTTTATAAATTATGTAAAACATTCTCTTCATTGCTGCATCATATTTTACCATTTATATATGTTTAGCCATTCATGCTTAAAACTTCTTCCTGATTTTTAAAATGCATTTTTTTATTTGACATTTTAATATGGTTTTCACTTGATTCACTTTTTTTATTTGATTTTTTTTGAAGTATCATCATCATCTGAGCCTTGAATTGTCAAAACATCTGAACCTTCTATATCTGATTCATCAATATTTGTTTCAAAATTTCAGTAGTCAAATTATCTAATCCTTCTTATTCTATACTATTTATTTATAATTTATTTTTTTGAATAAGGGGAAACAAATAAATGCACATAAATTCATATTTAAGTGTATATATTTAATAATTTAAAATTCAAAAGATACAAATTATGGTACTTTTCTAAAATATTGAAGTAATGACACACATATATGTACAGTATACATTATTTAGTATAAAATTTTTTTATGTGAATGGAAATCTGTATATACAAAAAAAATAAAAATAAAAATAAAAATAAAAAGGAAAAATATCCGGCAACTCTGAAGTTAAAAATTTTTAAAGGAAAATCCGGATTTTTAAAGTACTATTTCCAGCCCTGATTGCCTATTTATTATTTAAAATAAAATGAAAATCAATCAACAGTTAATATGTTTACAAAAACAATGGTAATGGTAGTAAGTGATAAAAATACTTACCTTTTATTTATTATTTAAAATAAACGAAAATCAAGAATAATATTGGCTGTAATAATAATGAAGAAAATACTTACTTTCTATTTATTACTAAAAATAAAACGAAAATCAACAGTTAATATGTTTTCAAAAACAATGAATGATATTGAGTGTAATAATAATGAAATGATAAAAATACTCACACACTATTTATTATTTAAATTAAAACGAAAATCAAGTTTAATATTTTCAAAAAAACAATGATATTGAACTGTAACAATAATGAAATGATGAGAATACTTACTTGCTATTTATTATTTAAAATAAATGAAAGCCAACGGTTAATATTTTTTCAAAAACAATGATATTGACTGTAATAATAGTGAAATAATGAGAATACTTACTTCCTATATTTATAATTAAAATAAAACGAAAATCAACAGTTAATATTTTCATAAAAACAATGATATTGACTGTAACGATAGTGAAATGATGAGAATACCTACACACTATTTATTATTTAAGATAAAACGAAAATCAACAATTAATATGTTTCCAAAAAACCAATGATATTGACTGTAAAAATAGTGAAATGATGAAAATACTTACATCCTATATTTATTATTTAAGATAAAACGTGAATCAACAGTTAATATGTTTTCAAAAAAACAATGATATTGACTGTAATAATAGTGAAATGATGAAAATACTTACATCCTATAAAAAATAAAACGAAAATCAACAGTTAATATTTTCAAAAAAAAAGATATTGACTGTAACAATACTTACATACTGTTTATTATTTAAAATAAATGAAAGCTAACAGTTAATATGTTTTCAAAAAAACAATGATATTGACCGTAACAATAGTTAAATGATGAGAATACTTACATCCTATTTATTATTTAAAATAAATGAAAACCAACAGTTAATATGTTTTCAAAATCAACGATATTGACTGTAACAATAGTGAAATGATGAGAATACTTACCCACTACACATTATTTTAAATAAAATGAAAGCTAACGGTTAATATTTTTTCAAAAACAATGATATTGACTGTAACAATAGTGAAATGATGAGAATACTTACATCCTATATTTATTATTTAAAATAAATGAAAGCTAACAGTTAATATGTTTTCAAAAACAATGATATTGGCTGTAACAATAGTAAATGATGAGAATACTTACATACTATTTATTATTTAAAATAAAACGAAAATTAACAGTTAATATTTTTTCAAATTGACTGTAATAATAGTGAAATGATGAAAATACTTACATCCTATATTTATTATTTAAAATAAAACGAAAATCAACAGTTAATATGTTTTCAAAAACAATGATATTGGCTGTAACAATAATGAAGTGATGAGAATACTTACATACTATTTATTATTTAAAATAAATGAAAGCTAACAGTTAATATGTTTTCAAAAAAACAATGATATTGGCTGTAACAATAGTAAATGATGAGAATACTTACAGGCTATTTATTATTTAAAATAAATGAAAGATAACAGTTAATATTTTTTTCAAAAACAATGATATTGACTGTAACAATAGTGAAGTGATCAGAATGCTTACCCGCTACACGTTATTTAAAATAAAACGAAAATCAACAGTTAATATTTTTTCAAAAACAATGATATTGACTGTAATAATAGTGAAATGATGAGAATACTTACCCGCTACACGTTATTTAAAATAAAATGAAAACCAACAGTTAATATGTTTTCAAAAACAATGATATTGACTGTAATAATAGTGAAATGATGAGAATACTTACAAACTACCCATTATTTTAAATAAAATGAAAACCAACAGTTAATATGTTTTCAAAAATAGTGATATTGACAGTAATAATAGTACAAAAATACTTACCACTCTATTTATTATTTAGAATAAAATGAAAACCAATAATTAATATGTTTTCAAAAACAACGATATTGACTGTAATAATAGTACAAAATACTTACGGAACTATTTATTATTTAAAATCAAATGAAACCCAATAGTTAGTATTTTTCAAAAACAATGATATCGAATATAATGATATTTATTGTAATAGTAAATATAATAATAAATGAAGTACTTCGCTTCGCCAAATTATTGTTATCAATTGGACTTGCTAAATCCACAACAGCAAAGATAATCAAAAAGAGAAGAGAAATATTGAATTTCATTTTGATTTGCTCAGGTAATTTTTTTTGTCGATTTTTCACTTTTTCATGATTTTCAAATTGTATGGGATTACTGTAAAAGTATTTATAAAAAAAAATGAAAGCGAATTTTGTTTTTTTCAAATTGTATGCAGTTGTTATTGTAATTAGGATTTAAAGCTGATTTGTTGGTCGAAATACCCTAATTCCGAATCAAATCTTTTTATTTCTATTTATATCTTTATTATTTCTTATTTTATTATAATAAAAATTTTCAATATTGCCGGCAATTCTTTTGAAAGTTTTTTGTTGAGATTTTTATTTTTTTGGTTTTTTTTATATACCTATACCAGACTAGGACAAATACATTTTATAGACTGTTAATTCTCGACGACCTTTTCTTCTTCGTTTGGAAATTACTATTACTGAATAATTTTTTTTCATACGGGCTAAGAAGCCGTAATAAACGTCATTTAATACTTAATATTAATATTAAATTTAATTTGTATTATTATTTAATGTCTGCCGATATCGAATGTTGCGAACGTATTTATATACGTATAATAATAATATATTCAAAAAAAAAAAAATTTTTGCAAAGATATTGTTCTTTTGGGCCAATTGACATAAATATATATATAGAATTCTTTTTCTTGTGGAATATTATTTGGCTTTTGACTTGTCTTTAATATTAAATTTTTTTGTGTCAATTCGACAAAATTAACAGACAATAAAATAATAGATGATAGTAGACCATTTCAATTGCATTTATAGCAATTGGCACAAAGAACTTCGATTAATTTGAAGGAGGTGAATTAATTTTTGTCACTTATATACTTATATTATTAGCTTATTTAAGCTTATGCTTTGGTTATTATTATCAGCTTCCTTTAAGCTTATAAGCTAATATAAGCTTCCAAAGATTTTTTTAATGGACAAACGTTTAATTTATATAAAAAAGCTAGTTTATTCATTTATAAAATATAGGTCTTTTCCTTTAACAAGATAATATAAACAAAAATTACATTTATAATCTATATTATTATTATAGTTTCTAGCATTATGACTTAAGGAAAATGCCAGCTACTACTATTTATTATTATCGCTATATTCAAGGAGGACCAAGGAAAGATAGATTGATAAAGAAAAAAAATTTTAATTGGATCGGATTATTCGAATTTTTATTATTATTTTTATTATTATCGTTCATTTTATTCGAATTAAAAATTTATTCGAATAGAAGTCCTACTACTACTACACCAAGTATATAGAAAAAAAATTTCATTCTAATAATAATACAATAAAATTTATGCTAAAATTATAAATATTCGTTAAATGTAAACGTAATATATCAGATATAAGATGCTGACGAAACCAGCAAATTGGATTCGTCTTATAGGCTAAACGTTTAGTCTATATGAAAAAAACCAATTTACTAGTTTTTCATTATTATTATTACTATTATTGTTCAATGTCGATTTCGATT